ATCTTCTGGTGCGTTTATTATGCGTTTTGCTTGTTAAAAAACCCACCCATCCCACACCTGGTTATTCTTGTTATTATTATATTCACTGTCATATTCGTTTGTTGCTTCTTTTGCTTTACCTAATGATCCATCCAATGTTCTTGGAGTGGCTTCACCTGCTGTGCTCGTTTTGTACAGGGTAGTGAGTCCACTTCGACCTTGGCCTTACTCAAAGCATTCCAAGCATCTGACCTTATCCCTCCATCCAGGAGGTTTTGCATCCGCCGTAGTTCCTGCGTCGTCACCTTCACTAGGTTTTCTGTTAGTCACCACTTTGCATGCTGCTCGGCTTTTCTCACAATATGTGAGTCGTTTCTATTGACAGGGGGTTTAAGATCCATCTGTCAATTCAACCAAAGGTTCAACCAAATAAATTTGTTGGTTGGTGCCTCGAAGACAAATAATTCCAGCAAGCGAAAAAGGGAATATTAATTAAACCGAGCGTGACCACGTTTCAGCAAACCAGATGTATGGTTTTGGAGAAGAAGTTTGGTTTTTGAATAATAGACAAGTTTAAGTTTGGTTTGTTCATATATATATATATATATATTAAGATATATATATATATTAGAAATAACCCAGAAGATTGAAGTCCTTGTAGAACTGCGAAGTAATTACATATGAAACAGGCCCACAAACCTTGTTTCAACTCAGCTCATGTTCTGTGTGTTTCTGTTTGATGTTGTGACATGTTTTTGGTGAAACCTGATGTGCGTTTCCCTTGCCTCTGTTTTTATATGTCTCCGCGTCTACGCGACATGTGCGGATATATGTTTCGTTGTATATATATGATGAATGTTTTTTATTTTTTTAAAAAAAGAAACAAACAGAAACAAAGGGGGATGAACATGTTCATGCAGTGGATGTCTCACAATCTTGTATGTTGCATGCCGCAGTCAGGGTGGAGTGGGTGGGAAACCTTCATCCCAACGTGTTTGTTTGATTGCCAGCGCATGGGCGCCCGTGATCGTGGCCGGAAGCTCTTCGACAAGGAGCCGGCATCCTGGAGAGTGCCTCAGGTTTTCATTTACATTCTGTGCTTTAGCCTGGGTTGGATTTCCTGCCTTTTCTGGCTGCTTTTTGGTGCATGAGATTGGTGTGCTCGCTGGACAGGTTCACAACAGGATTCAACCATTGCTTGTTTTTTGACCGGGTCTGGCGATTTCACAGCATTTCTGTCTCAGTTTTTGAACTGCTCACACCAACTGAACAGCACATTTTGTCACTGGTGCATATCATTGTGGCAGTTGAACGATCAGAAGTAGCACTAGGCGCAACGGCACAGACCCTTGGAGTGGCTTCAGTGCTGTCATCATTCAGTGTTCCCACACCTCCTCTGGCAGAGTGGGAGAGCGACCAAGCAGACGGGGGGATCTGGGATGGCTTTTCAGACAGCGATTGATGATGATGCCATGGGTTTGCATTTGCTTTCATGTGTCAGTGCTACAAAGCATGTGTTTTCGAACAACATCAAGATGCCATGGGAGAGAAGGTTCATAGGTCCTTATGACAGAGCTACGGATGTGCACAAGATTCCACTTCCTGTGCGTGACTTCATTCCCAGAGAGGCTCCAGCGACAGGTGGACGTGTTGAAACCCGCCTGGACAATGCTGACACGGCATTCAAAAAGGCTGGACTCAAGTTGCTTAAGGCATGTGATGAAACACTGTGGACTGACAGGTTGTCGTCTGAACGCAAGGCTGCAATCAGAAAGTGGACATCACTGGTGTCATCAGAGCCGATGGCATGGGAAGTGGCTGTGCAACACTTCAGTCAAGGGGCTATGATTTTTGCTTCAGGAGGGCTGAATGAAAGCATCAGGGACTCATTGGCTGCCAAAGCGTCCAACACTCTGCATGCTCGGGCAAACCCTCTTTTCCGTTTTGCGAAGTTCTGCAGTGAACATGGCCTGAAACTGTGGCCGGTCAAGGAGGCGGTTGTCTATGATTTTCTCAACAGTGATGATGGATTTGCCCCGACTTTCCCAAGGAGTTTGATCATCTCGATCAGCTTCGCGCACCATTTGCTGGGCTTGACGGGTGACATTGGGCAGATCGCCAGTGGCAGGACAAAGGGCTTGACACACGCGTGGTTTCTCAAGAAGCGCCGATTGGTGCAGAAGCCGCCACTGAGTGTGGAACAATTGGTGGCCTTGGAGAAGATTGTTGTTGACGAGGCCAGGGGATCGCAAGATCGCATAGCGGCTGGTTTCTTTGTTTTTACAACTTATTGCCGGGCCAGATATTCTGATGCATTGAACGTGGCTGCTTTGCGATTGGACATCACCTTGAGGGACGGTCATGCTCATGGTTGGATCGAGGCTGATGCGGCACGAACCAAAACCGCATCCAACTTGGAGCGCAAAACCAGGTTTTTGCCCATGTCTGCACCGGTCAAGACGGTGAGTGGCTTGGATTGGAGCAGGGCATGGTTACAATTGAGGCGTGAAGCCCGTATGGAGGCTGCTGAAGGCAAACCACTGTTGCCGGCTCCAAACGACGGTGGGTCATGGGCGAACGTGCCGCTCAGTGCCAGTTCGGCAGGCATTTGGCTGAGATCTCTTTTGCAAGATGTTGGAGGTCCCGAGTTGAGCCGCGTTGGGACACACAGCATGAAATGTACCCTCCTCAGCTGGTGTGCGAAGTTCGGATTGGACCCATCCATTCGGAGGGCATTGGGTTATCATACCTCCAGTGGTGATAAGAGTATCAACACCTATGCAAGAGATGCGATGTCCACCCCACTGAGGGAATTGCAGCGAGTGATAGACTCGGCGGCCAGTGGTGCATTTCTACCGGATCAAACCCGGTCCGGGTACTTTGTGACAGCTGCAGCCGAGGAGTTTGATTCCTCGAGCGAATCCTCGGGCGACGAGGAGGATGTTGAGGATGCCAAAGCCGAGGAAGCCATCGATGCGATCGCAGGTCATTGGCAAGGAACTCGTGACATATCCTGGTCAAAAGTGGCTGCAGTCTTTTTCAGACACAGCACCAGTCGGTGCATCCATGTCTTGCAGGATGAAGCAGGTGCCGAGTGTTGCTGTGGGAGAAGGATAACCACGGCATACATCAGGCTGGAGAAGAAGCCAGACTTCCTCCACCCTTTGTGCTCTACATGTGAGCGCATTATCAACCGAGGATGATGTCGGATGTTGAAAAAATCGGATTTGCATTGAGTCCGTTTTTGACATGTTGATTATGAAAGTAGAGGGATGTACCTCGATTGAATGTTGCATACATGTATCGTGATGACGATTGAACCGATGGGTTCTTGTTGGAACCTTTGTTGTGCGTCGATGGATGCACATAACTTTGAGTGGAATGCCACATGTTTGAAATGTATGTGTGCTCAGGCTCTAGTGTGAGTCAACAGCAATGCGAGCGACATGAATGTGTGTCTATTGCAGTCAAATGAAATGTGCACTAGTGCAAGACTATGCATAATTTCGGTGATGTTGCAAGTTTCACTTCTAGGCATTTTAGAAGATTGCGGATGTTTGTTTCAACAGTTTCTCATGTCCATGCAACTGCATTCAAGCTGACTTTGTTCCGATCCTGCCTGCGATGTCAGTCGTGGACTCTGAAGCAGTTTTTGCGAGTAGGGCTGCGGCAATAGGACTCAGTGCAGAAGTCATTCAGCTTTTCAAAGATGGTGGCATAGCAACATTGGGAAATCTTGCATTTGCGTCATCTTACGTGCCTGGAAGTTCTGATGACTCCCCGTTCACAGATCTTGTGAAGAAGGTGCTGGGCCGTGAAGGCTCCTTAGGAGAAATGGCCATGATCAGGCGACTTTTCAATGAGTCGTATGCCGCGACCTCAGCTGAGATGAAAACGTTGGTCGAACAGACGGACGAAGCCCCAAATAGAAAGTTAGCTGCTGCAGAGAGGGCTGAACGGTTTTCGTCACAACAGAAGAGACTGAAAGGCATAAACATGCAAGGCCAGATGGAACCTGGAGACTCACTTGTAGATCTTGCAGTCAATATTTATGAGTCTGACAGACTTCGATACATTCCGTGGGAAAGTTGTGTTTCAAGGGAACATGAAATTTTGACGTCTTCAAAAAAGGACAATGCCTTGACTTTTGACAGCAACGGTAATCTTAAGATGAGCAAGCGAGAGCATGTGTCCCCATGTGAAGTTTCATCGGAGTTACAGATCAAGTACTGCCTCATCAGACGAGGCCTTGCACTGGAACAGGGAAACGTGATTGGTTTTGAACTGCATGAACAATGGGCAGAAAAATTGATGGCATGCAGACTCACTGATCCCCCTTCGGGATATTCTAGGGTCACTTTCAAACAGTTACAGTTGGCCGATGCAAAGTTGTTTGTGGTGCTTGGTGAGAGAACCCGCATGGGCTTGAAGGTGACACAAGATGGCAGGCCATGTGACAAGGTCTTCAAGGCGGTCATGGAATGCCCCGAGGTTCAACATCTTTTGCAGCCGATGCCTCAGGCGTCACATGCACCGGCAAGACGGGTGAGAAGGGCGGTGCACCACCAGTCAAGCGCACCATTGACAAACCAAGTCCGTCCAAAGGCATTGGGAAGAAGGGTAAATCAGGAAAGACATGGAAGCCATCTGTCCCTCAGGAACTTTTGAGTTTGGGATGCGTAGGAGTCACCAACAAAGGGAACCCGCTATGCTACGACTTCCAGCTTGGGAAGTGCAGCCTTACGGTGCAGAACTCAAGGTGCTCAAAAGGGTTGCATTTGTGTGCAGTTGCAGGATGTCACAGAGATCACCAAGCGAAAGATTGCCCCAGGGCTTCAAAGAAAAGGGAATGACTATCAGTGGATGCAGGAGAAACGGCAGTCTCACAAATGGATGACAAACGACCCCGAAAGGAGTCAATGTTTAGGGAACTTGGTGTGCCGAGCTTGGAAAATGAGACGGTCTTCATCGAGCTTTGTGCAGGTAGCGGCATCCTCAGTTCTACTGCCGAAAGGTATGGAATGAAAGTTTGCCCCATTGACTGTGAACGCAATAGGCATTCACCCTTTACAAAAATTTTTCAGATAGACTTGGCGAACGACAAAGCATGGTCATTCCTTGAGCACGTGCGTGATACTTCAAAAGTTGTGGCATGGCACATGGGGTTACCGTGTGGGACTTGTAGTAGGGCCAGAGAGATTCAATTGAAGGGCGTTTGGAGCCCACCACCGCTTCGAGATGCCGCCCACCCAATGGGCTTACCATGGAATTCACCGTCAGATGCCAAGAAGGTGGAAGCGGCGAACAGTTTGTATGAGAGAGCATTCAAATTTGCGTTAATGCTGGTGACATTGGGCCACATCATCACGATAGAGAATCCCACGCGCAGCTGGTTGTGGGAGCTACCCATCATCATGGCATTATTGGAATGTTGTTTCTTTGTGCATTTACATGCTTGTATGTTTGGGGGCGCTCGGAAAAAGAAGACGTCACTGCTGACGAATGAATCTATGTTTGAATCCCTCAGTGTCTTTTGCGATGGATCTCATGAACATGCTCCATGGGGTATTGACGAAAACAACGAGTTTAACACTGCAAAGGAGGCTCAATATCCCCAAGGGTTTTGTGAAGCATACTGTCAGGTTTTGGCACGCTTGATGAACACACGTGCCGGTAATTTTCCAGCAGTTCCCGAGGGTCCAGGTGTGGAGAACGTTGATTCGAAACAGCTCTACAGACCTTTCTCTCAACCGAGAGGGCGCAAGGTGCCTCAACTCATTGCTGAATACGCTGCGATCCATACCATTGTGCTGGACAGGGTACCTGCAGTCAATCACAAACGTGTCATTCAGTCCCCTGTTTTACACATACCGGCAGGGGCTAAGTTGCTCAGAACTGAAGCGAAAAGGGGACAAGTGTTGTGCGTTTTTGGGATTTTTCACTCGTGTCAGCAGTTTGTACAAGCCAGCAGAAATTTACTGCATCCATTTGACGAGTTCATGAACGTCCCTGACATATTGCTTAAATGTATGTTTGACATCCTCAGCATGGGTCCAGTTGGCATTGCAAAAGTTAGGCTGCAGAAGATTTTGGAATGGAGGCGCATGCGATGTGAACTTGAATCAGAGGAAAAAGCTTTGCATGCCAGGATACCTCACCGCTTGCAACATTTGGTGAAGGACAAACAGTTTTTGCTCCCCAGACAGCTTGCGCAAGACATTGGATGGCCTGACACAGAAATACACAAAGAAATGTTGGAGGGCTTCCGTCTTGTGGGTAAGGGCACCAAGTCTGGAGTTTTCAAATCTGAAGTCAAAGCTGCAGCAATGACTGAAATGGACCTCATGGAAAAAGCAAAGTTTCTCAGGCCTTTAATTTTGGGAAAGATTGCGAACTCGAAAGCGCCGGATTACCTGACTGAACTGCACAACATTACAGACAATGAAGCAGGCGACAAAGGGTGGCTGGAAGGCCCGATGTCTGCTGAACAAGTGAGCGAACAGCTGGGAGATGTGTGGTTGCCGGTACAAAGGTTCGCCGTCAGACAGAAAAACAAACTGAGGCCCATAGACAATTTTGCTGAAAACAGAGTCAATGAAGCTTGGGAATGTCCCGAAAAGATCGATTTGCATGCTTTGGACCAACTCACTTGGTTAATTTCTATTGTTTGCAAGGTAGCCGCGGCCAGGGGCGTCATTGAGATCCTGCTGAAGAATGGTGAGCGCTTGAGTGGCAAGCTGCATGAGGCCTGGAACTTGGAAAGCCTCAAGTGTTTGATCAGCACCTTGGACTTGAAAGACGCTTACAAACAATTTGGCATCCACAAGGATGACAGGTGCAAATCAGTCGTCAGCTTGAAACGTTTGGACGACAACGGGACGACACACTATGTGATGAACTGCCTGCCATTTGGGGCCAGTTCGTCTGTCCACAATTTCAACAGGATAGGCAGAATGATATGGGCCATTGGAGTGACCGAACTGCGACTGCCTTGGGTGAATTATTTTGACGATTACCCCATTTTGACACCTAGCGAGATTTCTGCCTCAACTATGGCTGCAGCAAAAGGAATGTTGAAGCTCCTTGGATTTGGCTTTGCCGAGAACAAACTGGAGCCTTTCGCAACAAGTGCAGAGGTTTTGGGAGTTGTCGTTGACTGCGGCCTGGTGAGTGAAGGCAAGCTTGTATATGCGATGAAAGAGTCGAGGAGACAGGAAGCTTTGAGTGCGATCGAGGACATCCTTGACAAAGGGGCTGTCACTCCTTGTTTGCTGCCGTCGGTCTTGGGACGGCTGGAATTTGCGGATGGGCAACTGGCTGGGAGAACAGGCAAATTGGCTATGGCAGACATTCGATCACTTGGGTTGCATTCAAAGTCCAGTGTCAGTTTGGACAGTGATGCGAGAGTTGCTTTGCAGATGTTGAAGGAAAGATTTATGGACAACCGTCCGCGCACCATAGTGTTGAGCACCGAAGAATGCCCTTTACTTTTGTATACTGACGGATCATACGAGCCGGGAGTGACATCCGAAGTGGCAATGATTGGTGGAGTGCTATTGGATGGTACGGCACCGGCAAGGGTTTTTGGGAGCCACGTCCCAAAGGACCTTCTGGCTCGATGGCACAACGAAGGTAAAGAACACCTAATTGGACAGGTTGAAATGTACGCTGTTGCAGTGGCTAGGGATGTTTGGAAGGAGCGGTTGCACAACCGGAGAGGCATCATTTTCATCGACAACTGGCCTGTGTTGGATTGCTACATACCTGGAACAGCGAAACAAAAAACATGGAGAGAAATTTTGCTTAGCATAGAGAGAGTTGACAAAGAATTTCCTTCGCAGCTTTGGGCTACCCGAGTTCCATCTGAGTCCAACATTGCTGACCCGCCTAGCCGTGGCACTCTGGAACCTATCAGATTTTTGGGTCAGCTGCTGATAGATGAGCCGAAGTGTCCGATGACCGGACAACCACTTGAGACATGTCTTGGCTGAAGCGGACTGGGGGCCTGATGAGGCAAAGATGTTTTTCACAATGTTTCGATGTTTTTCCTTTCAATGAAACGTGAGGTTATGACCTCTTTGGAATGCGTTTGATGTGAAATGTATGAATGGAAAGGAGGAAAACACTTGAAAGGGTCGATGGACCAATACAGCGTGTGGAAATTGAATCTTGAACCCCAGTTCGCCGATGGACAAAAAGAGTGGAGCGTGACCAGTGAAGATGCAGTTTCATGTCATTCTTGTGATTTGATGTTTTTCAGTTTGTGAGCTGTGCTTGTTTTGTGTTTGAGTTTTTATTTCGTTTGGCGTCCGACGTTGCGCGGTTAAGGTGAGGGATGCGTGGAGAGGTAATTTTGTGTTTGGGGGCTTTTGCCTCTTGTGCTGTTTTAACTTCTGTTTCTGGACCTTTGGTAAACTTTAAGACAGTGGTCACTCAAAGAGTGATAACGGTTTAAAGTTTTACAAAGTAATGAGGCTTGAGCCGAATGGTCCAGAAACTGAATGCAAACAACTGGTGTATTGTGCTACACTTCCTGGCGGTTGAATGCGAAACCTATGTCTTTGAACAGTGCCTCTCCTCCTCCTCCGCGTAAGACGTCTTGCGAAGTAATTACATATGAAACAGGCCCACAAACCTTGTTTCAACTCAGCTCATGTTCTGTGTGTTTCTGTTTGATGTTGTGACATGTTTTTGGTGAAACCTGATGTGCGTTTCCCTTGCCTCTGTTTTTATATGTCTCCGCGTCTACGCGACATGTGCGGATATATGTTTCGTTGTATATATATGATGAATGTTTTTTTATTTAAAAAAAGAAACGAACAGAAACAAAGGGGGATGAACATGTTCATGCAGTGGATGTCTCACAATCTTGTATGTTGCATGCCGCAGTCAGGGTGGAGTGGGTGGGAAACCTTCATCCCAACGTGTTTGTTTGACCCGCCCTGTCTCACTTCGTTTGTCCCGCCCTTAAAGTGAAAGGGGCCTGATGAGGCAAAGATGTTTTTCACAATGTTTCGATGTTTTTCCTTTCAATGAAACGTGAGGTTATGACCTCTTTGGAATGCGTTTGATGTGAAATGTATGAATGGAAAGGAGGAAAACACTTGAAAGGGTCGATGGACCAATACAGCGTGTGGAAATTGAATCTTGAACCCCAGTTCGCCGATGGACAAAAAGAGTGGAGCGTGACCAGTGAAGATGCAGTTTCATGTCATTCTTGTGATTTGATGTTTTTCAGTTTGTGAGCTGTGCTTGTTTTGCGTTTGAGTTTTTATTTCGTTTGGCGTCCGACGTTGCGCGGTTAAGGTGAGGGATGCGTGGAGAGGTAATTTTGTGTTTGGGGGCTTTTGCCTCTTGTGCTGTTTTAACTTCTGTTTCTGGACCTTTGGTAAACTTTAAAAGGCGGGCAAACTTGTCTTGTATGGACGTCAAAGAGATAGTGAGTTTAGCCTGCAGCCACAGGTATGGGAGAGCACCCAGGTTGTCCGGTTGGAAGAAGATGTTGGCTTGAGGTTAAGAACTATTCATCATGGTTTCCAGCTTGTCAGCAGCACCTGCGCCTCTTCAGCTTCCGCCTCCACCTCAGATTCACCGTCAGTGGTAGCTCGCTTTTCGTCCGACGAGGGGACAGTCTCACCTGCCCCTCCAGCGCCTGCCAGAGGACTCGCTCGCAGGTGAATTTCAGGGCGGGAGCCTGCAGCAGCAGTGGTTGTAGTCGGTGGGCATCAAAATAATGGATATCCGGTATGAGTAATATCCTCCGGTCCTTGGTGGCCTGATGAAAGTGTATCTTGTTGCCCCGGAGCCGGTGGACAAGGACCGGAGATCCATTGTGGGAAACACAAAGCCACAAAGGAGAGCGGTAGCCGTCCCCTGCATACCATACAGGTACTCCCGATCAATGGAACACGGAAAGAAGCCACTTGCCGTGAGGCGGTGGTCACGACTGTGTGAGGCTAATGCCGCGGTGACCTCCTGTGTGAGTCGCAGCTTCGACTTCTGCGCAATCACCAATCTATATCTTCTCAGGGGGCGCACTCCATTCAATGTCACGACCATGGCAATTGCAAGGGGTGGTTTATCTTGCGACGTAAACGGAGTGTCAAGTCCCCACTCTCGGACAGCTTCTGCATCCGAGGGTTCTCGCGCAGGCTCATGATACTGGACTAGTCTGTTTTTGAGAGTGTGGTACCCATAGTGATAGACCGCTAACGTTTGAGCCATTCCAATCATCCCAGCCATGTCAATGGGGGAGACAATGTAAGTGTGTCGGATTGCTCTTGTAAGCGCCACTGTGGCCCTCCCAAAGCAGTCTTCCCTGTCTTCCAGTGAGGCACCTCGACGGCTCCCACTGAGGAAACCACACCGCGTCTGGACAACAACTGCAATTCGTGCGGTTGCCCCCGCCGCTGACGAGGTTATGGCTGTTCTGAGTCCTCCGAACCATGCTGCCTGAAAACCATGCTGCAGGAGCTGGTTGTGCACAGCCGTACGGTTGCACATCACCAGAAGCTGCGCTGTCGCTCCTTGGCTAAGGTCCCGATGACACTTTTGAAGGTAACTCAGGAAGACTACGACATCTTCAATTGCTGCCATAAGGTCTTTAGGAGCCTCCTACAGGACCGTCCGGAACCCTCCGTGCTCGACAGTATGATCATGAGGTACGAAGTGCCCTATTTGGATGGGGTCCTGGTCATGCAGTACCAGTTCCGGGTACTTAACGGCTACTATGGCTTTGAGCAAAACAGCAACGTGACAGGTTCCAGTTCATGGGTGAAATGGGATCAGCGAGCATAAATACTTCGCTAATCTTTCGGCCAGCCGAATAGTGAAGTTTCTGGCAGCAGCCTGAGAGACTGTCTCCAGAGTGTCAATGCGTCCTCGCAACCACAGTTCTTGTGGAAATATCCAGTATTTTTGGCTGGTGAGCGAGGAAAGCTTCTGGCTTTGTGCATATTTGGATAAACAAGCTGAAGTGGTACAGTGTGCGAGTTCTGCTTTGGTGGGGCGTGCATATTCTGCTTTGGAGAATTCAATGCTGGCATTCTTTAAGGAAGCAATTTGGAATTCGTGACTCCGGTCACCGGAAGAATGCTTGGGTGAGACCACATCAATTGGTCCGACCAATTGATCGACAAGTAGACAGCCTTGCATGATAATTGCAATTCATCTTTTTGCTGCGATTGAACGTGTGTAACGACCTGGCGGAAGCCATGAAGGCGTTGGACGGAAAAAAAGGCTACTATGGCTTTGTACGTCAGCAGAGATACTCGTGAACTGTTGGGCAGTATGATGCCCCATCTGTGAGGGCCGTCAAGGCCGGCTGCTTCCACTGTGGTTGTACACTCAGGAATTCCAAACTCTTCTGGTGCAGTGGCTATCAACAAGACCGCCAGTATTGCAGAGATCAGGCAGCTAGCAACATTGAGATGACTGAGCGTTTCCTCACTGAAGAGGCGCGCCAGGGAGGTTGGCAGGTGTTGTGTGGTCGTTGCGGCAGTCCAGGTGGTGCTTGGCCAACATTGAGCAGACACGCAACATCAGAGTCATTATCCTGGCTCGCATCCGGCCACAGGAGAGCAATAAGCTTGGCGAGCCGGGCAGGGGGCAGATAATCGCCAGGGCGATGCAAGGCTCGTCCAAGGGGACGGTGGAGCAGCTTCTGCCTATTTGCTGCCGCAGCTCTTCCTTTGGATAGGCCCCCGGGTGTTTGCCTATGGTCCCCTACGAATACGATAAGTGCCGGCTGTTGGATGGCAGCAAGTGCAGCGATTTCGTGATAGTTGCCGTACTGCTGGCTTTCATCCATAAACGCTAGCCACGCCCTGGAAAGCCATAGGCTGAATGATGAATATTTCATGGCCATTTCCGCAGTAGCTGATCCTCCAGTTGCAATCAGAATACGCTTCTCAGCAATGACTCTGTTGCGATCGCTGCATCGCACATCAATTTTCGTTGCATACGCTTCGCCCTTTCCTTCCTCAATACGACCCAGCAGTCGTTCGCAGCGACATTTTCCTTGGTGTAGACGACAGCATAGAAATCATCCAGCTCACAGCTGAGAGCGATCAACAAAACTGCTAAGGAGCGAGTTTTTCCAGCGCCGAAAACGCCTGCTATGCATAGGTCAGAGCGTCCAGTGAGGATCGCCAGGAGCAAGGCTACTGCAACTGTGAGGACATGTCCGTCTCCATGCCCCGCTAGAGCGAGCAGGCAGTCTCGCATGTAACAGTCATGTGCTCCCGGCAGAGCAACCCCTATGGGTGTGAGGAAGCGGCGTAGTACTCTGACCAAAGCATCAGTCAGTTTTGTCCTGCGTTCACTCATCATCCTGCACACAGGAATATCAGGCTGGAGAATGCCCATCGTCAATGGGAGCCGTGCCGGGTTGGCCTGCGCAAACACGAGCAGCTCACATCGACTTCGAGTATCGCCAAGGAAAGCAAGTTCTTCCAATACTATAGAGAAGGTTGCATGGAGCTCGATTGGCTGCAGCCAATCTTGTGCAGGGTCAAAGTAGTCCACTCCTGCTGGCTGCTGCAGCAGCAGTCGTCCACAAAAAGCAAAGGCGACAGGCTTGGAAACTACGACTAGCTCAAGTGACTTCGGGGCAATGCGTCGATACGCACGATAGTCAGCAGCTCTGCTGGTGCCCTGCATCACTTTTTCTTGAACTAAGAAAATAGCACAGCGGCGCTGGCCATCAGGTAACTGTAAACGACCAAACAATGCCCTGCCTGCCATCACATTAGATTCCATGCTCCCTAGATTGCCAGCTGCGCATAGGTTCCACGGTGACGCGTGGGGGACAGCAGTCGGATCGCTGAAGAGCAAAATCGGAGCGCCCTCTGTGAGCAACTGGATGACATGAAAGCCAGCATAGGCTTCATACACATATTTAATCGCAAGCTCTGTGCCTTGTTGGCCTCGTGCCTGCTGTTGCGCAAGCTCAACACTGATCCATGGTTGTAGGTGTTGAAGCTGACGGCCG